AAAAAAAAAAAAAAAAAAGAAAGAAAGAAGGAGGAGGAGGAGGAGGAGGAGGAGGAGGAGGAGGAGAACGGGCTCATAAAATCTTACGAGAAACGAAAAAGAAAGCTTTTTTATTCCCCTGTTCACCTCGATCGTCGGTTTTCATGGGTTTCCAAGAAACTGTGAGCTTGTCGCAATCGAGTCTCTCTGTCCTCTTTCTCTCTCCCCATCATCTCTTCGGGGTACCTTGCACTGAGAAGCCGCCCTAGTTGGGTTAGCTTCATGGCGCTCCTGTACACGTTCTTCGCTCGACACGTGGCACATCTCGCGGACCTCGGTGCATCTTCCAGGTATTGAAATGAGAACAATCCCGCCGCTTGAACAGCACAACTCGTGCAGAACACATGCCCACATCTCAAGGAGATCGGCTTGTAAAGCAGTTCCAGGCAAACGGGACAGCTGAGCTCTGCTTCAGTAATCTCCTCCATTTCAATCCAAGCTTTAGAGGATGCACGTGTGGAAGGAGGATCTTCCGATGAAGCTGTGGATGCACGAGGTCCGGATATGGGTGTGGATGCACGAGGAGGTTCGGATGCGGCGGCAGGTATGGATGCACGAGGTTCCAGTGAAGGTTCGCATGGAGGTGTGGAAACAGGAGGCTCCGATGAAGCGGTGGAGGAAGGAAGCTGGGACGCAGCAGGTCCGTGAGCGGCGGGTATGGATGAAGGAGGTTCGGATGCAGGTGTGGGCGAAAGACGTTCGGCTGTAGGTGTGGATGCAGGTTCCGGACAGAATCTGCCCGTAGGTGAGGATCCAGGAGGTTCCAATGAAACTGGGGATGAAAGAGACCGGGACGCAGAAGGTTCGCCTGTAGGTGTCGATGCAGGTTCAGATGTAGGTGTGGATGCAAGATCGGACGTAAGTCTGGAGTCTGTGGACACTAGCCCCCCAGATTGTGGTCCGAATGGTGGTCCACGTTCGGATGCAGGTTCGAACGCAGGTTCGGATGCAGGTTCCAACACAGGTTCGGATGCAGGTTCGAATGCAGGTTTGAATGCAGGTCCGAATGGTGGTTCACGTTCGGATGCAGGTTCGAACGCAGATTCGGATGCAGATTCGAACACAGGTTCGGATGCAGGTTCGGACGCAGATTCGGATGCGGATTCGAACGCTGGTTCAGATGGTTCGAACGCAGATTCGGATGCGGATGCACGTTCGAATGCAGGTTCGGACGCAGGTGCGAACGCTGGTTCAGACGCAGGTTTGAACGCAGGTTCGGATACTGCCGTGACAGTGTTCCCGTATCTTTGTTGTTCAGGTTGGAACGCAGGTTGGAACGCAGGTTGGGACGCAGGTTGGGATGCTGCCGTGATGGTTTTCCCGCGTCCTTGGTGTCCGCATGCCGTTCCGCCGCCGGCCCATCCCTCCCGCAGCTCTTCTGCTGCAGTTGATGGTCTGCATTCTGCGGGGTCGATGGCTCGCCTGCCGGCGGCGCATCCCTCCCGCAGCTCTTCCGCTGCAGTTGATGGTCTGCATTCTGGGGGGTCCATGGCTCGCCTGCTTGCTGGTTCGGACGCTGGTTGGGGCGGTAGTTCGGATGTTGGCGGCGGCAGGGCATGATTGAAAGGATCCCCGGTCCCGCTGAGAGCGATTCTCGTGCGTCCGTCTTCTTCTTTATCGTGAGAGGTTGTCTTCCGTCGTCGATCTCCTCGGTCGAACGCTCCCTTGGTGGACTCTTCGTTCAGGACGAGCAGCTTCGCTTCTCTGAGGATGACAGAAGATTCGAGTTTGGAAATTCCGCTCTCGAGACACGCGCGAAAGAGAGAGGCATCACTGCAACTCCAGTGGGCATATGCCTCCTCGTAGTGGCTTAGCAGCTCAGCATACGATTTGGAGTAGAGCCACGCACGGTGAACGAGCTCCTTGGCTTCCTTAAGTACACCCTCCTTGCTGCATAGACGAGCATGACGCAGTCCGAACAGGACAGCGTGCACTCCATAGCGCCCGAGCTCGTCGTACGCACGCACAACGTCCTTGGCACGCCTCTCCAGACGACTCTGAATCGCTGTCAACTGCCTGCAAGTCTCGACACAAGCCGGACCGTCGATCGTGCATCGACTAGCTACGGAACGCGAACATATGGAGTAGTCGCAGTCGAACATGATTATCGATTATCGACCAGAAAAGATCGGAAGGAAACGTAACGAAAGCACGATGAAGAGGATGAAGACGATGAAGATGGTGGAAAGAAGGAGGAAGATGAGGAAGGTGTTGAAGATCAGGAAGATCTATAGAGACAAGAGAAGATCAAGAGGAGACGTAACGAAACACGATGAAGAGGATGAAGACGATGAAGATAGTAGTGGAAAAAGGAGGAAGATGGTGGAAACAGGAGGAAGATGAGGAAGGTGTTGAAGACCAGGAAGATTTATAGAGAAAAGAAAAGATCAAGAGGAGACGTAACGAAACACAATGAAGAGGATGAAGACGATGAAGATACTAGTGGACAAAGGTGGAAGATGAGGAAGGTGTTGAAGATCAGGAAGATTTATAGAGAAAAGAAAAGATCAAGAGGAGAGACGTAACGAAACACGATGAAGAGGATGAAGACGATGAAGATAGTAGTGGAAAAAGGAGGAAGATGAGGAAGGTGTTGAAGATCAACAAGATGGAGGCAAGAAAAGATCGAAAGGAAACGTAACAAAACACGATGAAGAGGATGAAGACGACGAAGAGGACGATGAAGACGATGAAGACGATGGCGATGGCGGAAGCAGGACGAAGACGAGGAAGGTGTTGAAGATCAGGAAGATGGAGACGTTAAAGATGACAGCCTGTCTTATGGACACAAAAGAAAAAGAAAAGTCGAGACTCAAGATGAGGAAGATGAAGAGAATAGAATGCAGTAGCGACGCCGATCGCTACACGACTACGCTTGGAATAAATTTTCAAAACAAGGATCTGCATGGACACATCACCATCCATAGCTGAAACGCGCACAGTGAATTTCCGCGAGGCATTTCACCTGGCTGTGCACAAAGATGAGGAAGACGAAAATGATGAGCACCACGAAAAAAAAAGATAACCAAGATGATAAAGATGAAGATAATGAAGATAATGAAGATGACCAACACGATAATGAAAAGCTGGCAGTGGATTTAAAAAAAAAAAAAAAAAAAAAAAGATGGCAGTGAAAGAAAAAGAGGAATGAAAGGTACAGGGCTTCTGTGATTCCTATTTTCTGTAGTGAACCAATCAATCTCTGGGACTCGATCCCTGCACTATACGACCTCACGCCCTTAACTCCACAAAGATGCCCCTTCGGATCCCCACCTCAGTCCATTTGTCTACCTGTATTATAGCTGTATACCTATTTCTGAAGAGAATAGAATGCAGTAGCGATGAATGTAACCTACCAGTCCATCAAATTGCAAATGTACCAATCTACTTATTTGTCGATATACCTATCTATCAATCAAACTCTTGTCTGTCTGCGTTTGGAGGTATACCCAATCTCTCTGTATACCTGTTGTGATACTCTCCAATCTGCTGCCTGTCCCCACCTGGCCTTGCCCTCTATTCTTCTCTCTCTCTCTCTCTCTCTCTCTCTCTCTCTCTCTCTCTCTCTCTCTCTCTCTCTCTCTC